AACGACTCAAAATCACACGACTGGTTCAAACTAAAAGGAATAATAAAGGAAAGAGACAAAAATCCCCGCTAAGCCGAAACTTGAAAAGACAAATTGCTTAGGCAAAAGCCAAGGCATGTCGCTGGACTTCAAAGTCAAAGTTCAAAAGGAATTTGTCCAAGCAAAAGTTAGGGAACACAAAAAGAAAGCGAAAAGCGCGAAAAGAAAAAGGGGATTACCAAGTAAATATCCTCCGCAAAGAATAAAGTCGTGTGATCGAACACCAAAAATGAAGGAGGTGAGTGACTGCCATATCCTCCTCGACCATGATAAACTTCTGATGAGGGATGAGTGCTCGTTTTGGTTTAACTGAATTTAGGACTGAAGAACATCACGGAGAATGGGCGGACACCAAATATTTTTGAGCCTTAAATCCTTTTTTCTAAAACCGTGAACCAGGCCACGTTACAACCCTTAAAAGTCCTAACTGAAGCATGGGTTAATTCGAAAGCACACTGTAACAAGAATACAATAATCTGACTCCTAGGAGGCTTGCTAATTTTTTGGTATCACTCCATCTTTTTACTATCTTTTGTACAAATTTTTTTGATGTTTCAACATATTTTTGATACAAGTTTTTAAACTTCAAGACAAACATGAGCTTTGCATTAAAATTACCATTCTTAGAATAAACATTTTTTGCATATGAACAAGTGCTTAAACATCAAGCAAGCTTGCATAATGAGTATCAGATGAAAATTTGATTATCCTAAGGGACAAGTTGCTTCAGGATACCGTTTAAAGGTGAATCATTTGTGAGAATGGTATTAATCTAGGGCAAATCTTCTATTGATTCTGTTAAGTAAAAGAATACCAGTTTGAGAAATGATCTAAAGTAGATTGCAAAAGTGGGTCGCCGGTCACCCAGAGTCTCTGTCAAGCAGCGGTGCATTACTTTCAGTTGGTCCTAAGGGACATATTGCTTCAAGTATTTGCTCGAGAATGAAACAGTTCAAGCCGAGTAGTATGGTTGTGAAGTATCCTACTTTCAAGATATGATCCAACCACTCTAAGGTTACGTCGTCTTCAAAAATCTCTCCGTGAGCATGAGGTAAGAGAAAAGATTTGTCGAGAATCTGTTGAGCAAGGGCAAGCGTGTCAAATACTCCGTCGATTAGGTATTCATCCAATCTGAGGCATTCAAGTCAGGATTTTATCCCTCAAAGTGCAGTCAAGTTGGGGCAATTATACTAATATTTGACAAATATCTCTGAGAATACGTTGATTAGAGGAGAATCTTCCAGAATTTGAAGATGTATGGGAATTCGCTCAAGCGTGGTTGGAATTAGATCCAATTTTGGTTATCTAAACATCATGTTCCAAAGTCCAAAACACTTGGGCAGATTGTCTTCAATAGTATAAATCTAAAAAATTCCTCTCAAGGCAATTTTTCTGCAAAAGCCTTACAGATTGGGGCAAGAATTTATGCAAGAGATTTCTATCTTCTTCAGTGGTTGATCGGATCAAGTCCATACGCAGGTTAAATGATCTATGAATGTGAATATCATGCCGAGAAGTCGGGATTGTTATCTTTGACTTATCAGAGATTCAAGTCCATTTACTGATATCCTTTGTCCTAAGTCAAGATTATTATCCCCAGTCGAAGTTTGGGTTGTTATCCTTAGTAGGATATGAGCAATAACACAAAGATCATTTGGGTTTGTTTACTCGTACAAGACGTGATGGAAATATTGCTTCCTAGGGAGATGCCTCCCCCCAGTAAAAGACCTGTTGCTACTTGACAAAGATCTATCTACCAAGGGGTTTCTCTTCTAAGATATTTTCTCCCCAGTGAAGCATCCTCATTTCTCTGCAGGAGGAGAATGTTCTTTCTCCTAGAAATGTAGAAGTTTGTTTTAAGTCAAGATGATTCCTTTTCTTTGGACTACAATTTATTTTTGCAGCATCTTCTCTAAATTCCACTTTTTAGTGGCATTTCTCCTCGGAGTCGACATGTTGAAGTTGCAATCTTGCATCGCAGTTTTCACCCAGTGATTGGTAGTTCGAATTTCCTATTCTTCAGTAAGGCTTTCCATTCCAAACAGGGGCATGTCGCCCCAATTTTTGTTTTACAAGTATTGTTGGTCTTGTGTGACAAGATGCATACCAGCAAATGAATCAAGAAGGGTTTGTATGTGACTAACGTGAGGATTTTTCGTATAATGAGATCTAATTTCCCCAGTGGAACTATTCTTCTTTCCCTAATGGAGCAAGTATCCTATCTCTCAAGTGAGGTGTACAAGAGAATTCCAGTCATAAATCTGTCGTTACCAGTGATAGAAGATTTTGTTGAGATATCCCTAGTGGAGTTTCTATCCCGGGATGTTTGTTTCTTCCCGAAGTGAGGATCTTTTACCTCCCAACAATGTTATCCCCAATGTGGTCTGAGTAGAATTCTTTTTATTTAAGAATTTCTATACTCCCCAACAGAACTTATCTTTGTCAAGAATTTCTATGCCAGAAGTTTCCATTTTCAGCAAAGCTTATTCTTTCCAACAGAGGATAAAGAATTTTTTTCCCCGTAAAGTGGGGAGTTTGATCAGAATTCAAGATTTTCTTTGAACCGCAATTTACGTTTGCAGTTTTCTTCCCAGGAAGTTACTTCCCCAGTGATGTCTATCTTTAGAGGATGGTGGTTCCAAATCTCGGTTCCCCATTGAAGTACAAATTTCCTTTTACATAAGATCAGATGTTCCAGAATAATCATTTGGAAGTACATTGCCTTCCCAGCAGCCGATTATTGATGTGTTTTCGTAATGCATTACTAAACATGCATCATTACATTGCATCCACCAAAACGCGTAGCATTTCCATTGTATGGAGCATTACGCTATAAATTTTTCACACATGCATGAGTATAAGCCAATTGTGTTTACTTGCAGTAACCAGACTGTTATGTATTCAGAATCGAACTATATCCACAAAAAGCCTAGGGTGATTCTATTTTGTTTCCCAGCTGAGGCTGTTTGATCTACCACCAGTCAATTCTTTGGTGTTTCCCATTGTCTCAGTAAGTCGTGATTCTCTTTTACCCATGTAAGCCTTTGGTTATATATGTCCTTTCCTCCGGACATATTTTTTCAATATCCTTGGTTATACGCCCTTTTCTTCGGACGTATATTCCTTATATCCTTGGTTAGAGTCCTTTCCTCCGGCCTCTTTCCTTATTATGTATCCGATAATGACCACAAATATGTATTTTTGATACTTGCTTCATATGTATTCTACCAATCCCAGACATGTGTTCTTGATATCTTTGTAAGAGCTTTCTTCGGTTTGTCTCTTTCTTGCATATCCGATACTGACCATGGATATGTATTTTTGGTACTTGTTTCATATGTATGCTACCAATCCCAGACATGTGTTCTTGATATCTTTGTGAGAGCTTTCTTCGGTCTGTCTCTTTCTTACGTATCCGATACCGACCACGGATATGTATCTTTGATGTCTCTTTCTTATATATCCTATACCGACCACGGATATGTATCTTTGATGTCTCTTTCGTACGTATCCGATACCGACCACGGATATGTATCTTTGATGTCTCTTTCTTACATTTCCGATACCGACCACGGATATGTATCTTTGATGTCTCTTTCGTACGTATCTGATACCGACCACAGATATGTATCTTTGATGTCTCTTTCTTACATATCTGATACCGACCACGGATATGTATCTTTGATGTCTCTTTCGTACGTATCTGATACCGACCACGGATATGTATTTTTGATATCTCTTTCTTACGTATCCGATACCAACCACGGATATGTATTTTTAATACTTGTTTCATATGTCTGCTACCAATCCTAGGCATGTGTTATTGATATCTTTGTAAGAGATTTCTTCGGTCTGTCTCTTTCTTACATATCTGATACCGACCACGAATATGTATCTTTGATGTCTCTTTCGTACGTATCCAATACCGACCACGGATATGTATCTTGGATGTCTCTTTCTTGCATATCTGATACCGACCACGGATATGTATCTTTTCTATTTCTTTTGTGCATATCCGATACCGACCACGGATATGTATCTTTTCTATATCTTTCTTACGTATCCAATATCGACCACGGATATGTATCTTTTCTATCTCTTTTGTGCATATTCGATACCGACCACGAATATGTATCTTTTCTATCCTTTTTGTGCATATCCGATACCGACCACGGATATGTATCTTTTCTGTCTCTTTCTTACATATTTGATACCGACCACAGATATGTATTTTTGGTGCCTTTTCCATATGTCTGCTACCAACCCCAGACATGTGTTCTTGTATCTTTTATGTATCTTTTGTACGTATCCGCTACTAACCCCAGATATGTATCTTTTCTGTCTCTTTTATGCGTATTCGCTACCAACCCCGAATATGTACCTTTGATATCTCTTGCGTGCGTATCCGCTACCGACCCCGGATATGTGTCTCTGATACCTTTTTTCGTATGTCTGCTACCGACTTCAGGAATATACCATTTGATATATTTCTTACAGGTGTTTGTTACTAAATCCCAACAAGTTTTCCTCGATAACCAAGTTATTCTTCTGTGTGTCAAACTCTGATTAAACATACATCTAACCCTGACAACCTCTTTTACCTAAAAAAGAAAAAAAATAGAAAATATAGAAAACCAGAAATATAATGTATACCTGACTGGCTTCGAAGCGCAAATTTTTAGGTTCTTTTAAATATTTAATCTTCTTCTACCTTTAAAGTTCGAAAGGCTAGCACCAACCTCACCTTCAGGTTGAAGACGATTAAATAGGGGTAGCTGTTGCACCCCAAAATTTGCCCTCCTAATTTCTTCTATCTGGCTTAGACTCTTGCATTCATCTGTATATGTTCCATTAGGTCATTAACATACATTTGCATTCAGTAAAGCGCTTGAGGTTCAAAGTTCAGTGGTTGTGCGATATTAGGGTTTCGCAATGGATAAGGTGTTCGTATCCAATAAGGCATGATTCTTCTGATTATCCTTCAAGCAGTGAAATATGGAATTAGGGTTGCAACCTATGCTTATGGAGGGTTCTGTTTTCTTCAAAGATTAAGGGACTATTACTCATTCAAGACAAGAGTCAGAGTGTTTCTCCACCAAGTTTGTGCTTGTCAGCATTTCATCAACCGAGGTTCATTAGGCTTTCTAAGGCGTGGCGATCTTGGTCATATTTCTTTCGGTATTCCCATGTTCACTTCCAAATTGCTCTACGGGGTCATCTAAAGGCTACTAAATCAGGCATTCATTATCTCCGCGTGCTCAATGTCGTCCTTTGATTAGGGTTTATTTCTCTAAGTCAAGTAACATTTAAGAGAGGTTTCTCTAGGAAGTTGTGATTATCAGGCAAGACTATCATCAGGGGATATCGTCCATGAATAACTAGGGTTTCAATTGATATATCTTTGAAAAATAAGAAGGGAACCATTGCTTGAATCTCAAGTCATATGGGCACAAGCTCTATTCCAGAGGAGAAGATTCAGTTGGGCCTTCTTCACGAATTAGGGTTTGTATACCTTATGATGCAAAGCTCTTCATCTGGTCGATTGGCTTACTTGTGATACAATCTACTTTCTTTGGATTTAATTTCAATGCCCTAAGATCAAAATCTAAAGCTTCATATGGAATATTCGGGTTATGGGTTAAGTACATGAAGACATCTAAGCATGTATTCACTCAAGTTGATTTAAAGAAGCTTAGATTCGTTCATTTGAAGATATTTAAGCAAGAGAGTTCATTCAAATTGATAGAATACGAGACATTGGGATTTCAAAAACACAAGGTCAATGAAGGACTTGGGATATCAAAAAGAAAGGAAGACACTTCTTTCTCGGGAAACTCAAAATCAAATGAAAAGAAAGTAATTCGCGCCCTTGATAATTTTTCATTTGGATTCAAGAGGTCCTAAAGTTACATTTGTATGCAGGTTCATACTGCATTATCTTGGTTTCAATAGAATTTACAAGCGCAATGCCATTTACAGTTCACACTATAACATTCAAGTCCCATCCACCATTTCAAAAATTCTTCATTCCATATTCAACAAAAATTCCAACAAGTTCATTCATTACAAATTCACCATAAGTCATTACAATTTCAAATTCTATACACCATTTTTGTCGATTCAATTAAATTCAGAACATCATTACAAAACCATAGAAAACTACATTCAAAAAAATAATTACATGAAAAATTATAATCCAATCTAATAATCCTTCTTATGCGACTATAGTTCACAATAACGGGTATTCATTCCCCAATTCGACCACTTCTCTTGGAGCAACTGCAGCAATCAGAGGTGCAAGACCTTCACAAACAACACATTTAATAGGCGGGTCTCTGTACTCTTCTCAAACATTTCATCCTTTTCAGGATCCACAGTCACATCCTCACAAGCAAGAGACTGAGGTGAGTGGAAATAATGTACAGTATTTTGCTAATCATGCATCTTACCCAATAAAGAATTCGCAAGGGCAGAACTTCACGATTCCAGTTCAGTTGGTAAACTTTTCTTTCAAGCCAAGTGCAACATCTGATACTGTTGGTGGCAACAGCAAGCAACAACAGGCTTTAAATGGGGGAGTTGAGGTTATACCATCTCAAGCATTTGCAGTATCATTTGCTTCATTTAACGGAACAAGTTTTCCATCAAACCTTAATTTCTCATCCATGAAACAAAATCCACTGGTAAATCAAAGTCTGCCTGATGTTTCACGCCAAGGATATCAAGCTGTAAGTACACCTCAGACTGTTCAGCAGAAGACTTACTCAATTACTATGGAGAAAAGAGGAGGAAATTCCTCCCACCAAGATGATGAAAAAAAAACCACTCATATAATACTTCAAGTTCTCAATAGTCTTTGCAATTGCTTCAGAAACAACATGGCATGCAACAACAACAACCTGCAACAGCTATTCAAAATAAAGCTTCATCCACCAATACTGGTTCTGCTACAAAATTTGCTAACAATGGCCCTGTTTTCTCACAAAGTCACAATCAATTAAAAAGTTCTAACCAAACTTCTCACTCTAAGATCACGGGAAGAACAGTGGGTTCTCATGCTAATCATTCATCTAGTATAACATCTAAGACTCCAATCGCAAAAAATATTTCTCAGGAGAAAGGAAGAGGTGTCGATAAATCATCAGGCTCTAACAGAATTCAATTTGAATCAACTTGTGAAAACGCTGATGTTGAGAAAGCTCTATATGTAGATTTTGTACATAGGGTTTTTTCTGAAATGAAGTGTAGAACTGATTTCAGAGAGGACGATTTCGATACTTTAAGAAAATACACTAGCATCGATAAAAATCTTTTGATAGGTTCTTCAAGTGAGGATAACAAGCACATGGTTGCTGTGAATGAAAAACCAGCATTACAGCCAAAAGGTTCAATGTTTCTTGATTCTTCTCTCCTTGTTTGTCCTGAAAAATCAAGTGATGATACGCAAGTGAATAAAATGACTAATCATTTAAACAAAATAAACACAGAAAAGAAAAGGAACAATATCGGTTCATAAAACAGAAATGGGAAGGGATTCATAAACAAAATATATATATTTTGACATTCATTAGCAGCTTTGTTAAGAACTTAAACGTTTTCTATCAAACTATACTAACTTTTTTCAAGCTAATTGTGTATAACTACAACTAACAGTTTGTTTTTAGCATTAAACTCATGATAACCAAGAATTATCCAACAAAATTAACAACCAACTTTCCTAACTGTCTATAACTTCTAACACAACTCCTCAATTATTTTCTTAACCCAACTAACTCTTAACAGTAGCCTAACAGAATTACTAACTAACTTACAATCTTAACAAACTTAGTTCCAGCTTATAACTAACTTTAAACCAACATGCCAGCTCACATAACAGAAAAAAAAACCCGTAAACTAACTCAGTAACTAATTTTCCAGCTCATCTCTAACAACCATCTAACTGATTTCCAACAGAATTCCAGCTACCCATAACCGTTCTTAACCAATTCACTAACAGTACTAAAAGAACTTTCCAACTGAATTCTCTAACAAAATCCTAACCATCGAAAATATGTAACAAAATAACTAACTTCCATCCAAGTCCTTCACTCTCTAACCGACTCAGATCTCATCCTCCATTTCATAACAGAAAAACAAAATCAACAGCTCAGATCAATGGATGAGATCTTCTCAAGCTCTAACTGATTCTCCTAGCCTTATCACCTATAAAAACTTTTTCCTTCTCCATTCACAAGGGGGGACGGATCATTTTTCTTTTTCCAGTTTTCATCTTCTCTACCCTCCTACTCTCTCTCCCTTACTCTCCTTCATCTTCATCCTACACCTTTCCTCATCAACCTCCACGACAACCAGACTTCTCTGCATAACTGCACTTACTTCTTCAAACAACCTTCAACCACCACCTTCATTAAAGCTACCACGCTTCATTCACCACCATTTCTCAATAATCACCTTCATCACTCTCTCTGCAACTTCATTCACAGACTTATCTCACGCCTTCACCTCATTCACTATCAATAACACCGTGCGTAAAAACAGAGAAAAAGCGGAAAACACAAGAGACAGAAGAAGAACACGCAAGCAGAAGAAGCAAACGCGCAAGCAGAAGAAGCAAACACGCAAGAAGAAGAACTGAGATAAGAAGAAGAATAACTAGAGTTACCTGAAATCCTCTGGAGTTCTTATGCTACCGGCGCCGTCGAAGAAGAATCGGAATTTCTCCGTTACGTAAGCTTCGATTTACTTCATTTCTTCATTCTTGTAGCATTTTGCATCACCATAATGTAGTGTATAAGCTGTAGAACAAAACCCCCATGGTTGCTCCTTCAGATTCGTCACCATCATCATGCAATACAGTTTTAGCTAAAACTTGGGTTCGCTATCATATTAGATTCGATGAGAACCAGAAGAGTTGTTGATATTTGAGAACTTTTCTTTTGATTTCTTGAAATTTCAATGCGTTAAAGAGCTGTTTATTGTGCCTTTGCATTAAGTCTAGCATGGAATTAGAGGTTGATACAAGATGAGTTGAGACAGAGACAAGGACGACAGGGGTACAGCGGCAGACGAGTCCTGTCAGAGAAGAGAAGGAAAGGTTTTCATCTTGAAAGTAGGCGAAAAGTTACCAACTGAACCCTAATTTTGTTCTCCGTGTATGTTATTGGGCTTGACCAAACCGGGTCACCCAGTCCCATAAGCTTATTGCTGTGTTTTTGGAGAGGGCTGAAGTCTGTACACAAAAAAATCTCGGTGGACTGGATTTAGTTTGGGCTTAATGCCTATTCAAGTTGCTTCAGCAAACCCCTGGATTACTGACTCGGACCCCCTGAGTTTAGTAGTTTCTTTTAAAAAATGTTTGTGATAATTGTTTTATTTGAATTTTATTCACATAATAAAAATAATAAAAATTCAATAAAATTTGTTAGATTTCAATTTTCGATTTTTTTAGGAATTAAATCAGGATCAACCGATTATTTGAGATTTATAATTCACCTTTGCTTGTTGAGATTTAAATCTTGTGCAGGTTTATGGTACGATATGCGGATATGCTTGAAATTTCGATTGTGATTTATTTTCACATCCATGATGCTTCAACACTTATTCCGAGCATTGGATTTCTAACTCTTTTCTTTGTTGATGCTAGCAGCTCGCGAGGTCGTCGGGTTTCTTTGCTTTTTTTTCTTTGCTCTACGGGCTAATACTCGTTTGGTATATTTTCTTTCTATTTTCACCCCACATTTATCTCTTTCCATAGATCGTGTGAAGTATAATAACATTAGGGATATATATAGACTAGTCTCCTTTTGACTTTTCTTTTTTTTTCTTTCTTTTCGCATATGCATTTAAAACAACAAAAACTTTTTTTTTCTTTCAAACTTCAAAAATACTTAAAAATTACTGACGAGAATCGTGCCTTAGTTGAATATGGGAGATGATAAGAGGGTCTCTTCTCGATCTTATCATTTTTCTATTCTAAACCTTGGCATGGTTCAAGTCTCAAAGAATTATTTCACGAATAAGTAGAGAAAATGGCTAAAATCTCTCTCTTGAGATTAACTAGCTGTTATCTACAAGCAAAAATATCAACAAACACAAAACTCTTTCTGCCTACGGGCTTTTCCTTCAAACTCTTTTCAAAATAGCATGTTAATTCACTTTTGTGCTGACGCATAAGTCTCCAAAGGTCGAGTTGCGGTAGAAGGCGAAATTAATATCGTTCATTTAAAACACAACCAAATTCAAACCTTTTTGTGCGCCCAGGCACATTTTCTCCAAAAATTTTCAAAGAATATATTAATTCACTTATGTGGTGACGCGTAAGTCTCCAAAGGTCGAGTTGCGGCAGAAGGCAAAATTAATATCGTTCAGTAAAAATAATACAAACCAACAAAAGCATAAGCCGAACTACAGCTGCTCTGATTCCTTAAAAGGTATACGTAGGCATTGGGGTAGGGCCGAAGCGAGCATAATTTTATTTTCCCTACATTCTTTTCCCCTTCCTTTTGCATGCATTCTCCCTTTAGCTGTAATAAACAAATAAGCATAGATTAAACACACCCCTAAGATAGATAACAAGAGTGGATACCGTAGAGTACTATGGGCATGTGGGGTTCTAATACCTTCCCCTCGCGTAACAGACTCCCTTATCCGATCTCTCGGTCACAAGACCGTGACTTCTCCCTTCTCAGGTTTTTTCGATGTTTACCTTTCCCTACATGTGGGATAAAAGATGTTTGATGGCGACTTCATTGTTTGATGATTTTTAGCTGGTTGTTTCACCAACCACGTCTTGCCACGCCATTGTCTTCTTCGCTGGGACTGTTGTTTTAGGTTCAACCTTTTACCTACAGACGTTTGTTCGTAGCTATAACCCTATTTCATTCAAATATTGTATACAAGCAAGATAAATGAAATTGGTGACCATGAATCAATTGGGCTTGAAGCCCTGATCATCATGGTGCCTAATATGAGAGCCAATTGTTCCTACATTGAAAACCCCTAAAACAAACTCGTAAACCCTAGCAATGGCATTACGCGATTCCTGTGCAGAAACTCAAATCAAAGCATTCCAAAACGTTGCAAGCATGACAATAAACATGGATATGTGATTAAAATAGATTTATGATGCGTAAATTAATGGATTCAAACTTTAAAAAAAATACAAACCGTGATATCTCTAGGGGCAATTTCTGGATGCTTTGAGGCTAGCAAATGATGCTGTTAGCTTCCTGAGATGTCCAGGAAAAGATTAGAAGCCTTGGAATGGTTTGAACTGGCCTGTATACAAAGATAGGTCTCACATTTTTCTTGCAAAATTTTGATTTCTCTCTTGCTGTTTCATGCCTCCAATCCTTATGCTTATGGTCTGGAATTGTTGTGTATATGTAGGAGACTAAATTAGGTCAACAAAATTGACATGAATCTTGAGAAATAATGGAGATTTGATTTGATTTGCTTCATGTATGATTTCTTTCCAAAACTTTCTTCAATCCAATCTTTTTCAACCCTTATGAGTATTGCACGACTTGGCTGGCATGCTAGCTGTATATGGACTCAAAGTGTGCACAAAAATCTCAATATTTGATTTGTTTTCATTATTTTACCATTTAATTTGATTTATTTTGATTTAAATGAATAAAAAATCAAAATAAATGATAAAAGTAATAAAATAATAGGTGGAAAAGCTCAGGGGTCGTGGGTCCTATTAGAAACATGTTTCAATCAAGAAAACATGGGCCCCTTTGGAAAAAATGCAAATTTGATCAATGTTGACTTTTGACAATTTTCCTAAAATCGCCAACTTTGACAATGCACAACTCTCTCAATTTTTATCCTAGGAGGGTGTTCTTGGGATTTTTAGAAAGCTTAGGATGTCCCAAAACCATCCCTTTTGGTCTCATGTTAATTGGATCTTCCATGTTCATGTATGAAGCTTTGACCCAAAAGGTGTTTTTGTTGACTTTTCAAAATGACCCATAATGTCAAAATTCATATCTTTTTATGAGTGCATATTTTGAACTTGTGAGATGTATATGAATTGTAGGTAATTTCATCCTCCTCAAAATGAGCTTTGGATGGAAAATTTCTGATAAAGTATGAAGAAGTTATGCTCTGTCAAAGTTGGGTTGACTTTTCCTTCAATACCCTAATTTAGCAACTTTTGGGTTTTGATGAATTTGGAGCATCCCTTGAGGAATCATGACCAACCCTTGATCAAATGATGGATATAACTTCAAAATGTTGATGTTGATCAAAGATCTTGAGGTTTGACTATCTGTAGGCCACAGTTGACTTTTAACCTAATATAGTTGACTCTCAAGCATCTGAACAGTTGGCTGAGCCAACTTCTTATGCAAGGCATGAAACTTGACATGTAGGGTCTTGAGAACATATTAAGACCATGGAGAGCATAGGAGACCTTTTTGGTCCACCCATCTTGATGAAAATAGAAACCCTAATTTGGGGCACACTGCCTTAGGGGAGAGTTTGTCTGGTCAACTCTTGGGCTTCCTTGAGCAACTTGAAGATCTCAATGGACATGTATTGAGTAAAATGAGAGGGAAAATTTTGGGGTACAACACCCTTACCACAATGTTACTAGGCTTTAGAGTCAAACCCTTGCAATCTAACCGGTCCAATGCCTTCTTAGGTAAGACATTCAGCGAAGACCCAGTATCTACCAGCACATGAGCCATAGTGGTGCCCATGCATTCAATCAAGACATGCAGATCATTATTATGCTTCCTTCCCTTTGGTGTCAAGTCTGCATCTGAAAAAACCAGCCCATTATCAGTAGTCAGGCTGGTCACACAATCTTTGAACTAATCAGCTGAAGTTTCCTGCGGCACATGTGCAGTCTTGAGGAATGCAATCAAAGCCTTCGCATGGGCTTTGGAACACAACAACAAAGACAACATGGATATCTTTGACGGGGTCTGCCCCAGATGCTCGACCACATTGTAGTCGCTCTTCTTAATTATTTTCAATATTTCCTCTATCTCTTGCTTAGAGGCTTCCACAACAATTTTCCTAGGCGCCCCTGTCCGGGCAGGCTCACCATTAATTTCTTTGCTGTGGGTATCAGACGATTCGCCGACAGGGGTAATAACTAGAGTAAGAATAGGAGCTGTAGTTGATGTACCAGCAGGAATAACATATGGAATGACAATAGGCTTGTTGACAGTCTTAGGGGAAATCTCGGGAGAGAAAACCCTTCCACTTCGGGTAACTTTGCTGGTTCCGACAATGTTACCAATATCAGGATCAACCTCTTCATCTTTCAAATCTTGTTTGATGCCATGATAGTACACATAGGCACCATAATGCCAAAGGACAACTTTGTCCGAGACATACGGGATAGGACCAGGAACAGTGATTATCAGCGGAGCAATTCTTGGAGCAGATGTAATCCTAACAAGTCTTCTCGAGTAGACCTTGGAAGGATTGGCGGAAATGGTTATAATGGCAATGTCTTTAGATGGAAAAACAGGAACCAAAGTTTTCTCGAACAAAATTTCTTTGCTGTCCATCAGGCGTTGAACACCTGACTTCAGCAAATGGCAACCAGAAGGTAGAAATGAACACACGTGGCAACCTTCACCACAACCCGAAAATAAATCGGCCAACAACAAATTCTTCTTCACAGTCATGAGCGGAGTATAAATTT